GGCACAGCCAGTCCTTGCAGCTGATCAGCCTGAGTAAATCCCTCCTATTGACATGCCAACAGCAATCAAGACTCAATTACACCAGAGGGGTGCACCTCAAAGGCCCAGCTGTGGTGACCAGGGAGCCTGTGCCACTGGATCTTACAGGACACCTAAACAATAGGCCACCCTACGAAGCTTAGGACATATAGCAACTCTACCTAATACATAGAAACAAACACAGGGAAGCAGCCAAACTGAAAAGATAAAGAAACATGTTCCAAATGAAAAAAAACAGAACAAAATGGAGATGAGCAATCAATCAGATGCAGAGTTCAAAACACTGGTTATAAGGATGCTCAAAGAACTTAGGACTTTAAAGAATCTATGGAGACCTCCAAGGAAGTTAGTGAGAACAACAACATAAAAAAGGACAGTCAGAAATGAAGGATGCACTAACTGAAATAAAGAATAATTTACAGAGAATCAATAGTAGAGTAGGTAAAGCCAAGAAACAAACCATCGATTTGAACTATAAGGAAGCAAAAACTACCCAGTCAAATCAGCAAAAAGAAAGAAGAATCCAAAAAAAATGAGGCTATTGTAAGGAGACTGTGGGACAACTTTAAGTGTGCCAACATTCTCATAATGGGGGTGCCAGAAGGAGAAGAGAGAAAGCAAGAAATTGAAAACCTATTTGAAAAAGTAATGACAAAATACTTCCCCAACTTGGTGAAGGGAACGGACATACAAGTCCAGGAACCACAGACAGTCCCAAACAAGATGAACCCAAAGAGGGTCACACCAAGACACATCATCATCAAAATGCCAAAGATTAAAGACAAAAAAATCTTAAAAGCAGCAAGAGAAAAGCAGTTAGTTACCTACAAAGGAGCTTTCATAAGACAGCTGATTTCTCAAAAGAAACTTTGCAGGCCAGAAAAGGGAGTGGCAAGAGATATTCAAAGCCATGAAAAGCAACAACCTACAACCAAGATTACTCTGTCCTGCAAAGCTATCATTTAAAGTTGATGGACATTTGAAGTGTTTCCCAGACAAGAAAAAGCTAAAGGAGTTCATTACCGCCAAACCAGTATTATATGAAATATTGAAGAGTCTTATTGAAGAAGAACAAAAATATGAACAATAAAATGGCAATTAATACATATCTATCAATAATTGAATCTACAAACAAAATGACTAAGCAGAACAGAAACAGACTCATAGATACAGAGAACTTTTTCTTGGTTGCCAGATGGGAGGGGGCTGAGGGGATAGGTGAGAAAGATGAAGGAATTAAGAAGTATAAATCTGTTATTAGACTGATGAACCTCAAAGGGATGTGGGGAGGGAGGGCCGGCTGAGATAAACCAAAGAACTTCTATGCATATATGCATAATCAATGGACACAGACAATAGTGTGGGGAAGGCAGGAGGGGGGCAGGATTGGACACGAGAGGGTCAATGAGGAAAAAGGGGACATCTGTAATACATTCAACAATAACGTTAAAAAGAAAAAAGGAAATATAAACTAGACTTCATCAAAATTAAAAGAACACTGTCAAGAAAGTGAAGACAACCTAAAGAATGGGAGAAAATATTTGTAAATCACATATCTGATAAGTCTTTAGTGTCCAAAATTTATAAAGAACTCTTACAGTATCAACAATAAAAACAACCCATTTTTTTGAGTGGGCAAAAGAAGCTATATAAATGGCCAATAAGTATATGAAAAGGTGCTAAACCTCATTAATCATTAGGGTTATGCAAATCAAAATCACAATGAGATATCACTTCACACCCTCTAGGAAGGCTTTTTTTTTTTTTTTTTTAAAGAAAAATAATAAATGGGAAGAAAGTGGGAAATTGGAATCATGCACATTACTGGTGAGAAGGTAGGATGGTGCAGCCAGTGTGAAAAACAGTTTGACAGTTCCTCAGGAAGTTAGAGGGTTACCATATGACCCAACAGTTCTACTCCTAAATATATACCCAAGAGAATTGAAAACATGTTCACACAAAATCTTGTACACGAATGTTCATGACAACATTATTTATAATAGCCAAAAAGTGAAAACAACCCAAAATGTCCATCAATTGATGAATGCTTAAACAAAATAAATCTACCCTTTGGAGTGTTATTTAGCTGTAAACTAGAATGAGATATTGCTACATGCCACAATATGTACAACATAAATGAATCTTGAAAACATGCTAAGTGAAAGAAGCCAGACACAAAAGACCACATACTGTCCAATTATATTTATATGGTTTGTCCAGAATAGGCAAATCCATAAAAGACAGAAGCCAGATGAGCAGTTGTCAGGGCCTAGAGAGAGGGAACAATGAGCAGTGACTGCTGATGGGTTTGGAGTTTCTTTGTGGGAAGATGAAAATGTCCTGGAAGTAGATAGTGGTGATGGTTGCACAACCTCATGACTATACTAAAAAAGACTCCATTGTATGCTTTAAATGGTGACTTTTATGATACTTGAATTACATTTCAGTTTTTAAAAAGTCATGGTCAAGCTTAACAATTGCTTTAGCTGGTGGACATACTAACCATACCACCTGAAGATGAGGGAAAAACCATTGTAAGGGGTTTGGGTTTAAGAAACAAACAAACAAAAACTCAATTATTATAAGAACTAGAATTTTTAAAATTGTATCCTAGAACTGGAAGCCTATTTAATTTGTGATGTGGCCCACTATCTAATTTCAGATACAGTCTTTTAACTCTTCTAGAACAAAGGAATAAAGAGTACTCTAAGGTAACCATATCATCAAGCAGAAAGGAGCATATTTTGAACTGTTCACTTCTGGCCTGAATTAGAAGGAAAAGATTAGAAAGCAAGGAGATTGTGTCATGAAAGGGAAAGGTAACATTCTTAAAACAAAACACAAATCTCTTTCCATAAATTATTTCTTCAAATATACAAGTGTGCCTGAAATGGTGATCCCTCGGGGCAGCTCCTCAAGGCCTGGGCCACAACATCCAGGCCCCAGGCAGCAGTCTCCCTTTAACCCCCGGTGAATAGTACAGATGTTTCCCTTTCCCCTGTGTGTCATGAAATAAAATGGTAGGGAAGAAGCACTGCTCTTAGTCACCTCTTTAAGTTTCTTTCTACCATTCTCATCATCTATTGAACAGTCTTAATTGTCATTGCCCCTCTGAAAATGTGTCAGTTACTTTTCAGAGATCTGTAGAGCAATCCCAGATATAGGCAACAAGGGTTTTCTGATATAAAGTATTTCTATAGAGAGAGAATGAATAATTGTATTTTTATTGTCTACCTACAAAATTAAATATTGAATTCTAGGCTGGAATTTTGTTAGATTAGTGTCAAACTTTATTGTATTATAAATTCCAGAAATGAGCTCTTTCCTACTTTCTAAAAATCTTCTCTATTCTTGACATCTCTATCATTATTAATAATTTCTGAAAGATTATTTATTTCATAATCATTTCTGCAGTTTCTTTCAACAAACAGATTTCTCTGCAGATGATAATACACTTAGAGGGTCTTTCAGTAGCCTCACATTATTCTCTAACTTAACTGGGACCTATAAAATGTGCAAGCCATTTGGAGCAAGAAAAAAAGACAGGAAACCTTGGTGTGGTTGAGATGTGAACAGATAACAGAGAAGATCTACGTGTATATTTATCCCTTTATTTTCATGCTGTTTAGAATGTCAGTCTTCCTCTTTGAAATGGGTAGAGTGTATTTGTTTTTAATGGACACCTGCTTTACCATCTGAATTGTTAGTATCATTTGTAGATTTGTTGCTGTTGGTCTTTGCTAGGAAATATATTTTCCTGAGAATACATTTGTTAACAAATACATATTGACTGGACAGTTGTACTTCTTTTTTCTTTTTTAATCCTCACCCAAAGATATTTTTCCATTGATTTTCAGATAGAGTGGGAGGGAGGGAGAAATAGACACATTGATTGGTTGCCTCCCACACAACCCTGACCAGGGCTGGGAAGGAACCGCAACAGAGATACGCGCCCTTGGCCAGAATGAAACCCACAACTCTTTGGACCACATGGTGGACGCTCTAACTGCTGAGCCAAACCAGCCAGGGCAAAGGACAGTTCTCCTTTTGACTTAGTAAATTTAAGAACATTTCCAAATTGTCTACCTAATTTTCTATACATATTAAGTAGAAGTAATACTTTATATCTTTAAAAGATCCAGTTGCTTGTTTTTGTTTTTGTTTTAGTATTGATATTTTCTAAGATTTGGGGATGTAAGTTTGTTTTACAGATTCATTCATGTTTACCATGTCTACAACCACATTTTAATTCATTCTGAATTGGTTTTTATATTTGTGATAGTCAGCCTTAAAGAGTAAATTAGAAAAGAAATGAGAAAAATCAAGGCACATAGAACTTGTTTCTCCTGTAAAATATTGCCACCACCCATAAGACACCAACTGGTCATGTTTCTCCCCAACTAAAAGTCCATTCTACATGACTTAGTTGCTGGGGTGCTCATGGACTAACTGGCATCTCTCTATTGACCCCTAGGGCTCCTAGAGAAATCACCGCTTCTTTTTAAAATATTTAAAAGTTATGAGACTTTAAAAAATGTTCCTAATGTTTTTAGAAGTGACATTACATGGTAAAAATATTTATATGTTTTTTTATTACCTTTCTTTACTTTCATTAAACTCATGATTAGTTCTTTACCAAAATGTTTGGAGGTATGCAGATTGTCTATTTGTCAGGATTTTCTTAGTACACATGAGAGTACATTCTTGAAGAATATCATGTATCTGAGAGTTAGGAACATTTAAAAAAAAAATTTAAGAGTATTTGAGCCAAACTAATGAAATGACATGTAGGGAAGCAAGATGTCCTAGGAACATTTTCACTCGCAAGGACTAAAGAGCTGGAATTGAAACATTTTCAGAGTACATTTTGAAAATAACTCAAAATGGTAGTAGAATTGACATCTGTGGTTTCTTTATAAACAAGGTAGAATATTTTAATTAGTAATCTTTATTTTCTTTAGGGTTTAATGAAGAAATTCATTCGGTGTTCTACACGTGTAACTGTGGGAACTATTAAAAAATTTCTAAGTTTAAAACTAAAACTTCCAAGTTCTTATGAGGTAAGTTAGTAATATAACCTTGATCATTTTGATAATTCTGACCTAAAGTAAAATTCTAACAAGTGAAAATTAACTGAGAATACATTTAAATTAAAATTTGTGGAAACTTTGGTTATTTTCTTATTAAAAATTTAATTCTTATAATGTAATATTCTATGTAATCTGTATTTTTTTATTGATTTCTTCTTTAGGGAGAGATAGAAACATATATTAGAGAGAGACGTCAGTTGACTGCCTCCTGCAGGCCCCCTACTGGGGGGGGGGGGGTCAAGCCTGCAACCCAGGCATGTGCTGGGACCCAGAATCTAACCTGGACCTCTCAGTCCATGGGACGATACTCAATCCACTGAGCCACAACGTCTGGGCCCTATTTTTTTATTTAACATCCTGACTAAAACATGATACTAATGCATTTAGTGTTTTATAATTAGAGGAGATACTTAAATAACATTAAGTATTCTCAAGATAAATATCTCAGTTAAATGGATTGTTGTTTTTTTAAATTATAACAACGTGCTTTAGGATGTGTCTCTTATGTGTGTTTTTTTATTTTTAATCTGAGACCTTTCAGATCTATTTTTACCAGTTCTTCACAGACTTCTTTTTTAGCATATAAAACATTTTCATAAGGGATTTTGTAAATAATGTTCCTTTAATTCCATGGTATGTAAAAGTAATATTGTTTGGCACTAGGTAAAAGCTAGTGTTTTAGGATTACATCTGCATATATGCAGTTTACTAGTTTCTTTACAGGAGAGAGAAAGTGCCCTAATGTTGATCACAACACAGCTTATAATGTATTCAATGTTTAGAAAATGTTTGTGATTCTAGAGGTGTGGCTATAACATAATGAGAAAACATGGCTACTACCCAAATAGCAGTGTTACAACTTGTATTAATGACCTCTCTTCCTCCCCTTTGGGTTCTGATAGTAGCATCCAAAAAAACTAACGACAAAGACCAATTTCCTATATAAACAAAGACATCAAAGGCAACATAGTTTTTTTTTAGGCTATGGACAGTAACATTAACATGAACAGTCATCACAGCAGAAATAAAATAGGACTCAAACATAGGCACTGATAGGTATTAAGTCTATATGTTGAGGAAACTTCTGATCATGAGCTTACTTTTATTTTATTTTAGAGAGAGGAGGGGAGAGATAGATTACTTTTTAAAATCTCTCAAATTACTAATCTATGGATTAAAACTTCTTGTTATGGCTTGGTTCTACAAATATAAAAAAAAAAAAATTCCAGAAATACCAGCGTTTACATTAGGAAAAAAATTGTGAGAATTAAAGCCCATGTACTTGGTAAAAGTAAGGTAATAACAGTTTACAGCTACAACAACAGTGAAAATAGAAAGTTGGTTTTTTTATGATTTGGTTTTGCACTTTATTTCCGTCTTGCAAGATACCACGTGCAGTTTTATTTCCTTACTTTTAAGTGTGACACTGAGTTATTTTCTAGTTTTCAGGAAGTTGTTAGAGCTGAGAGAACTGTTATTCTCACACAGTCTTCCTGCTGGCACACATATTGCTTCGTAGGAGTGACGGAAGGGAAGAGACTCCTTGTGCTGACAGCTCTTCTTTCTCCCAATGCAAAGGACTTTTCCTATGATTTTTTCACTAATATTTACTGGTCCCCCCTTATTTTGCTGCACAATATGTAGGGGGATGACTTAATGAAATACCTGACAGCTGAAGATCCTGTAACAGCATTGCTAATTGAGGCAGGATAGTTTCGTTTTAAACAATAATAGAAGCAGTGCACCTGATTAAGAATTGCCTCCCAACTAAGTCCCTTTACTTTGCTTATGAATTTGACAGGTGAGACCAAATGAAAGGATCTATTTTGTTATTTTAAACATAAAATTATAAACATTTTGAGGTCCATGTAAGTCACCATAAATCATCAAAAAATTAACATATTTTAGCTAATAATTTGTCTAATACAATTAGAGCTATACTCATTTTAAAGTTCAAAACTATTCTGTCTAGCCAAACAATTACTTAAAACCCATTTTTCTTCCCCCTTTCCACCCTTTACATTAAATTCTGTCAGTTTGCTTTTAATAGCTAGAGAACCAAATGTTTCATTTATAGGGACTTATGATAAACTCTTGATTATGCTTTGTTGAATTAGTAAACCATAGTCACAGTTTATATGGCCTTCTTAAGGAGTTTGGGGTTGTTTGGTTCCTGCAACACTAGAGTAAAAGTGAGCATCGATAAGTACAACCCTTTTTTGAAGTTTCATGCAGGGTGAGAAGTCATGTAAGTATTAATGCAATTTATCAACCTTGCCAAGCAGACGCTGAGAGCCCTAGGGGAATAGGCCAGTGGCGTGGTCCTGACTGTGCTGTCAATTTAGCTACGGCAGTTACCAGAAACTGCCCTGTGCCTCCAAGGCCCCATACATCACAAATCCACATTCATTCATTTACCCTCTTCGAATACAAACTAATGAGAGGAATGAAACTTCTTCAAATTTGGGGTTGTGAAGAGGAAAGGATTCTGAGAGAATCTATAAGGCAGAGCTACTGTGAGGTTTCCAGTTTCTTACTCAGTAAGAGGCAATCACAAAAATGTGTCTGAAATCTTAAAGGTTGCACAGACATAGACTGCAAAAATCTAAATTACATTTCAAAATGTTGTGTATGAACTTAAGATACAGGTTAAGTGGGACAAGACAAACAGTTCTTCATGGTACTCATATCTGAATTAATACTTACGAGATGGATCAGTGTTTTTAATTAAAAGTGTTCTTTTTAAATAAATGGATAATATTTCTATTTGTTGTAATTGAATCTTTTTTTAAATTGAAAAACATAAAACACTTATAGATTCAAAATTATGTATGTTAATGGGTCTTTAACTATTCTTTTTAAAGTTGGATGTGCTGTGCAATGGTGAAATTATGGGGAAGGATCATACTATGGAATTTATCTACATGACAAGATGGCGACTAAGAGGCGAAAACGTAAATTGCTTTTATATTTACCTATGTCTATATTTAGTTATATACCATTATGTTACTCAAATTTAACAGTATTACTTAGAACCTCAAAGAACAAACTAGCTTGGAAAAGGAAAAAACTGGTTCCTCTTACTGTTTCTCCCAGCTACTTCATGATAATTAGTCCCAAGTACGAGACCAAGGTCTGTGTTAAATGTGATTTTGTTATATTAAGGTGAGTTTAAAACTCCATCTAAATATGTTCAGAGCTCTATTAACCTCAAGACAGAGAAGATGACACTCACATTTTTTACAAATCCCTATAAAATATGAGAACTTTTAACTATATGGAGTGGGGGTGAGGAGACTTAAGTTCTACCCCATGGAGTACATTTAATGGCTGATAAGATACTTTTTGGTCATGGTAGAGGGGATAGATAGAGTAGAATCTAGACAATTTTTGTAGGTACCTTATTTATATTGAAAGTATAAAATTAGACTGAAGGGTAAGTGAGTTTGCAGTGGTTTTTGATGACAGATTAGATTATTGTGCCTTAGGCCCTAGGCAATAGGAGAATTGATTAAAAGGAGAAAAACTAAGAAAGCCTAAAAGGAGAATTTTATATTTTGAACTGTATCTTTGATTGAGGTTAATTAGAAGGTTCAAGTGCATCTTATCTGAGTTATATGTAACATTGATATTAGGGAAATTTCAGGGACTAGGGATTATAAGGCTGATACATAGCAGTAAAAACTAGTGTCGTAATGCTAACGGAAATTCTCTTCATAATCTGATTACATGAATTAAACACTAAGAGTGATTAGAAGGCTAGACTAAATGACCTCCATTTAGACCTTAAGATTTTGTGGTGTTTAGGATACAATATGTCATATTTTTAAACTGTAATTTTCACCTCTCTATAAGCCAGGTTTTAGTATATTTTCTCAAGAAAATATAAATTAACTATAAAAACTATCACAAAATTAAGAAATATAACCTTACACAAAGACAGGTAATACAGAATTTCAAATATAATGAGGGTTGTCATGTTATACTCATTCGAAAATGTCCTTATATTGAATGTCAACATCTGTGGAGTTTTTATGAAACAAACTTCAAAACATCTTTTTTGTGTGACATTCAGTAGGTAGGATATTTGGCTTTTTTTGTTTGTTTGTTTGTTTTTTAATCTTCACCTAAGGATTTTTTTTATTTATCTTCAGATGGGAGAGAGAGAAAGAACCATTGACATGAGAGGGACACATGACTGGTTGCCTCCTGCCCAACCCTGACCAGGGCTGGAGAAACCACAACCAAGGTACGTGCCCTTGATCCAAATTGAACCCACGATTCATTGGTCTACAGGCTGATGCTCTGCTGCTGAGTCAAACCAGCCAGGGCTATTTGGCTATTTTTAAGAAAAACTGTCTTGATATGATATAATAATAAATGAAGCACCTTGCTTCTTCTTCACAATTTTTTTTTTTCTTTTCTCTATTTGGGTCTCACTTGGGTAAAGCCTTCCTTGTGAGGCTGAATTCTCATGACGAAGAAGAAAAAATTATGTTCTAGTATTTAGTCACCAACTAGTTGTGTGCCCTCAAAGAACTCATTAAACCTCTCTAGGGCCTCTTTTTTTTTTTTTCTCCCAATCTAATTGTATTGGTAAATTACTACTTGCCTTTATATGAAATTTCCTAGTTTAAAAAAAAAAAAAAAAAAAGGTTGTGAATACATCACCCTCATTTAGTCCTAGCCAAATTATTTCAGGTCCCAGGCACAGATTACAGAGACAGTAAGCCCTCTCTTCCCCAGCATTGTTGGGGCCTGGATATGGTGATATTATATATAACATTAATATCGCATTGATACAAGTTTAGCTTTTGTTGATAGTTCTTTGGGCATTTCAGTATGTGAATATGAAAAGGTTTGCCTTAAGATTGAAGAGCTATGAGTAGTTATTCACTGCTAGACCTCTGTTAGCACTCAGTGTCCTTCACAAGATCTCTTCCCAAAAGTCACCTGCACTGCCAGGCATTTAAGGTCAAAGCACGGAAGAGCTAATTCATAGAAATTGTTACTAATAGACTATAAGTTCAATCAGTCTTTGCCACAGTTACGTTTTTGATCATACAAGGGTTGGTTCGAAAAATAGTTCAGTATCATATGATTTTTCATTCACATAAAAACTAAAACAAAAAATAGAGAAATTACCCATTTCATATTTAGTGCAACAGTGAAGTGATATATTAGCCCGTTTCCTGTTTTCAGCATGCTAAACCTGTTCTTGTTTGTACCCCTCCTCCGGCCCAGTTCTCCCTTTGTCTTCACACTCCCAGTAGTTCCAAAACCAGTAGTTCCATTTCTCCAGTTTCTCAGACAAAATCCGCGAAGTCAGTCCTGGTTAGTTTTTCTTTTGCCCATCCTTAGCAAAATATGTTCATTTCTGATTTACTCATAAAACATTTTTTGAGTAGCTACTGTGTGCCAACCAGTTATGGGCCTTAGCTATTAATATTGCAAAATAGATTAGATAGTCAGGGAGTTCACAGTCTGATGTTATTAAAATATATATGGAGACTAAGAATCTAAACTGAACAATATAAAGAACTGAATTTAAAGCAGAAAATGGATCCTTTCAGGTTGAGGCAAATTCCATGCCCCTGGCAGAGCCCTGACAGTTGACAGTGGCGCTTCCAGGAGGTAGCTGAGAGCAGATCCGGGGTTACTCACAGGAAGAGACAGGGAGCGAAGTGCCCCTCCTGGACTGAAGAGGTGAGCATTTTCCCAGGGTTAGTGTTTGAAGAGGAGATGGAAAGGATGGGCTACCATTTAGGTAAAATATTTACAGGATATTAGCCAAACTCTTATTCAGATACTAAAATAACTTCAAGCTAAATTTTACCAGTCAGTAAGTTATTAAAATCATTTTTTTTTCCAGAAAAACAACTACCCTATTTTGGAAAGTGTTTACTAAAAATTAATCATGTTGACTCATATTTGACGTTAAAATATTTTGAATAATCAGTTTTAAATATGTATCCAGTTGTGGATGCCTCTTATCTGATGAGTTCATCTCCTCCGCAGTTTCGGTGTCTGAACTGCTCAGCTTCGCAAGTCTGCCCTCAGGATGGCCCTTTGTATCAGGTAAGAGGCACTCACGACTGTACATATGACCCGACCAATGCTGCCCCACGAGGATGTTTCATCCCAAACTCAAGTTCCTAAGACATGTAACATGCTGAAACTAATACTTATTTGAGCTACAAAACTTATTTTCAAATTATATCCCCAAAGTTTTCCATTATTTTAGTTCTCTTGAAATATCTATTTAATTTTACTAAACTAAAAATGAAATTATAAATATTAAGGCCATTATTTATGAGTTAGGAATTTTTCATAATTACCAGTTTTAGCCCTTGAGAAATCCCTGCTCCTTATTGGATCTCTTAACACTTCTTTGTGTAGGTGTTATTTTTAAAAAATTAATCATTCACCCACAGTGAAAGATATATTGCCAGATGAAGTGAAGCTAAATAATGGCAACAGCTAACTGATTGTGAGCTCACTCACTAGGCCCTGCCCTAAGTACTTTACGTGGGCTACCTCTTTCAGCACAGCAATGATGGTGAGCTAATGTGCTACTGCACTGAGAGAACTTGAACATGGGTCTGAGGAAAGTTTACCTAATAAAAATATATTTAATAAATTTGGAAAACAGAAGGGACTAAGTGTGGTATAGTAAGAATTACTGTACATAGGTGATCTGTGATCAACTTTAGTCCATGGATTAATTATAGCATTTCTTTAAAATGCCCATTGTTTGGAATATTACTCAGCCATAAAAAAAAAAAAAAAAAAAAAAAAGAACAAAATCTTAACGTTTGCAACAGCATGGATGAACCTAGAGAGCATTATGCCAAGTGAAATAAATCAGAGAAAGACAAATACTATATAATCTCACTTATATGTGGAATCTAAAGAACAATGTAAACAAACAAACAAAATAGAAATGGGCTCATAGATACAGAGAACAGACTGATGGTTGCCAGGTGGGAAGGGAGTTGGCGGAATGAATTAAAAAGGTGAAGGGATTAAGAAGTATAAATTGGTAGTTACAAAATAGTCACTGAGATGTAAAGTGCAGCACAGGGAATACAGTCAATATTGTAATAACTATGTGTGGTGCCAGGTGGGTACTGAAAATATCAGGGGAACACTTTGTAAAGTATATGATTGTCTAGCCTGTAGGCAGTACACCTGAAACTAATATAAAATAATATTCAGTGTAAACTGTAATTGAAAAAACATTTAAAAGAACAGAAAAAAATGAAATAACTCTTACTTCATGGTCATACCCTTGAATTTGTACATCTTAAAACTATGTTCAAAATTCAGAGGGCAAGGGAAAATATTTTTATTTTTTATTATAAATATTATAAATTAGCTTAAAAGTTGAGTTTTTAATAACACTGTGCTGGGGCCTCTGTATTATTCTTAAGTATAATTGGAACATATTGAGAAATAGCAAAATATGAGAAATTAAATATAAATAATGATAATGAAAGCCTCCCCCCCCCCCCCCCCCCCCCAAATCCCCATTGTTCTTTCATCCTAGAAATTAAAGTCATCTTCATCCTTATTTCCTTGGAGCCAAGAAAGGAGAATTATAGTTTTATTACAAACTTAACCTGCAATCTCTCTCATCTCTGATGTTGCAGTTTTAGGGTTGGGACAAATGAATGTACGTCAATTAAAGAACCACTTCAAATCACTAATCAAAAATGTTAAATTAGCAGTTTATCTAGAATTTCCTTCAATTTTCATTGTCACCGCTGTGGTATGGAAATAGCCACACTGCTATTAAAATGCATGTGTTCTGATACACACTGGTTAAGTCCTGTGTTTTTAGCAATCGGATAAGCAATTAACAACTATAAAGGCCAAGTGAAAATTATTTAGGGAAAAAAGGCACCCTGCTCCTTACATTGTGCAGTTAAGGGTGTGAGGGGTGAGTAAATAATGTAATTGAGCTGGTGAGATTTCTATACGTCTTAAGTGTATAGATATTTTAGCTTCACAGCTGATTTTGGGATGATGAATTGTACTGATGCCCCTTCCTTTAACTGTAACTCATATATACACGACTTTTTGTCTTGACTCGTTGGAGCTGATGTCTGTTTATTTCCTTAGAAATAATGATATTCTTAAACTCTGATATATCAAGTATTAGAGAACAACAAGAGTAAGATCAAATTTTCAACAGTCAACACCTATTTTCTTAATTTGTTGTGTGAAAAGTCCCTGACATGGACAGTTTTGTAGGAAAATACCAGTGGACCAAAATTTACCTAAGAATAAAGAAAATTTAAATCACTAAGTCATGAAAGACATAAAAAATATTAAAGAATTAATTCCTGAATGGATACCTAAATAGTTTTATGCTCACAAACTCAAATTTTCAAGGAAGAGATTATTCCCATTCTAAATTGTTCTAAATCATTGAAAAAGATCAAATTCTTTCTAACTCATTATATAAAAGTAACATAATCATGATAGCAAAAACTGGCCCTCAATTAGAAAACTATCAAATCCTATTTTTTATTTAATTTTTTTTGTTTGTTTTTTTAAGAGAGAGAGAGGGAGGGAGGAGAAGGAGACGCGGGAGGGAGGGAGGGAAAGAAAGAAACATTGATTTATTGGTTCACTTATTTATGCATTCATTGGTTGATTCTTGTATGTGCCCTGACTGCAGATCAAACCCACAACCTCGGTGTATCAGGACAACGGTCTAACCAACTGAGTTACCTGGCCAGGGCTCAAATTTTATTTTGAATATAAATATAACGATGGCAAATAATATACTATATATACTAAAATATTATACTAAAAGAAAAATGAAAGCAAGACCAAATAGTACTTTTGTCAGTAATGCAAGAAATAAAAATCATCAGTAGCTGCTGAAAAGGCATTTGACAAAATTTAATGTTCAGTCCAACTTTTTCCTACCAACTTATTTTGAAAAATTTAAAAACAAAAAGTTGAAATAATAATATAAAGGAATATTCTTTACTTATACCAGTTAACATTTTGCTACATTTTCTGCCCTCTCTTTCCCTTCATTCTTCTTCCCCTCTCCTATCTTATTAATATTTATACATATATCTTATACTCTAATCTAATGATGGTTACAGATAGAAATAAATGAGTAAAATGTATAGTGTTAGAAGATAAAAATTAAAGTAGATAAATAGAATAGATAAGCTTGCCAAGGGAAGATCTCTTTGAGGTGATATTGATCAAAAAGAAGTGAAAGAACTAGCCACGTGTATATCTGGAGTAGGGCACTCCAGGCCTAGGGAACAGAGAGAAAAGATCTGGAGGAGTGGTCATATTTGGTCATTTGGGGGTGGAACAGAGACAATAGCTGGCAGTTGGCAGATACATGTATTGGTGAACTCAGAACATAGATATTGGGGATGGGGTGAGACTAGTAGAGTTTGTTTTCAATTAATCATACTGAAACTATTGAATGGGGGTGGGATTCAACCCATACTTCACATTATCTGAGTTTCTCATGGCTTAAAGTAGTAAATATTTAAAGAAGAAATTATAGTTGAATAATGAATCTCAGAGTGGGGATAGCCTTTCTCCTTGTACATGTAAACGGGAAAAAAGACAGTTGACTATTAATATTGAAAAGTACATGATAGATATACCACAACTGAGGAAATACTAGCAATATGACAGAAAGGTTTAATGTCCTTAATATATAAAAAGAATCTATAGTACCCAGACCTCATTATCCCTCTAATAGAGAGCAAGGAATCCTGGATCTCTTGGCTTCAGAGAAAAACTTTGCCCCTCTTCAGCAGGAAGAAGTTATAGAAGAGACCCTGCACCCCTTTTCTCTGAAAGGATTCAGAGCCAAGATCCTTGTGGGGGTGGAGTAGGCAGTTAGACAGACATGAGCAGAACAAGGATGATGGACCAGGTACAGAAGGTCACCAGGGCAGAAAGCCCTGGGTGCCTAGCAACGGACAATTGTAGGATGAGACCTTGCCTCCAAGGTGACCTTTCTTCCCCTAGCATATCTCCAGTTACATAGTTTGGAACCCTGACCTTTCCTCCCTAGAGATAATATCTAGGTTTCAGTTGTATTGCAGCTCCAGGCCCAGAAAAGTAGCAAAACCAGACAAGTGACTCCATGGCTGACCTCAGGACCAGCTTCATTGGATAATGACCCCCTGCTCTGCCACCAACCAATCAATCAGTGGAGACCCCAACCCTGAAAGGACATACCTGGAAAGCTGATGAATACTCTATTGAGGTCTTCCCCTGGGACCTCCCCTAAGATCCTTAAAAGCCTTAGGATGGAGAACCCAGGGCGCTCTCCCTCTTGGGAGCATGTCTGCACCTTTCCTCCCCCTCCCCCCAGGCACATTCCCATTACATTCTTCACTCCCAAGCTCCAGTGGCCCTACTTTTACCTCTATAACTTGTTTCCTAAGCCCGTTTTTTCTACAGATTACTTCTTCTACCTCTGTGATATTCCAAATAAATGTTCTTTTATAATAAAAAATTAAAAGAATTTATATAAATCTTTAAGACAATGTTCAGCTTGCCGTAGAAAAATGAACAAAAGCTATGATTAGGCAAGTCACGAAAGAAGAAAACTGGCCAATGAGCATACAAAAAAAAATGGTTTACTTCTTTAGAAGCCAAGAAAGAAAGAAAATACTATTTTATGCCTATTAAATTGCCAAATTAAAAAGGGGAAAAGGTAGTACTCACTACTGATGAGGCTATGGAAGAATGAACACTCATATTTCCTTTTGGAAATGTACAAATAGAACAACTTTCTTGTAGTCCATTTTCTTGTGTGACAATATTTAGCAAAAAGGCTTTTAAAATGTCTGTGCTGTTTGAACTAGCAGTCCCACTTCAAGGAACTAACCTGGTGGGTGTAACATGGAGAGTAGGGACTAGACCATAGATTATTATTTATTTATTTTGCTATTACAAATTACAAATTAATGTTGACCCAATAAAGTAAAATGTAGATAGAGCACAGAGAGATTTGTTGAGAACTTATGGTTCATTTCTGTAAAGGCATTATACACAGCCTTTTAAAATGATATTAAGTAGTGTAGAAAATGTTTATGAATTTTTAAATGGACAAAATAGTATACCTAACAATATGTGGAGTGTGATTTAAGTTTTTAAAAACAAGGACATGGACAAAAAGACTAGGAAGATATATATTATAATAATTATGGTGGTTGGTTGTCTTTGATGGTGGAATTTAAATAATGTTCCTTTTCTTCTTGGCACTTTTCTGTATTTTCCAAATCTATAGACAAGTTATTTTTATGATTAAAAGAACAATTTTTTTTTTTTTTTTTTATCCTCACCCAAGGACACTTTTTTATTCTTTGTTCAGATAGAGCAGGAGGGGGAGAGAGAGAGAAACATCGATGTGAGAGGGACGCATCGAGTGGCTGCCACCCGCACGACCAACCAGGGCCGGGGACAAACTGCAACCCAGGTACATGCCCTTAGCGGGAACCGAACCAGGGTCTCTCTGGACCGCAGGCCGACGCTCTAACCGCTGAGCCAAACCGACCAGGGCAAAAGAACAATTTTTAAGAAAAACAGTACGTCAAAGTTAATTTTAGGATTTTTTTACATTATCTCATTTGAAATATATACTTTGGAAGCATCTGTCCTTTATTTTAGTACCTGATGAGACAGGACTAGCAGCTCGACAAGACGTGGGCTCCCTCCGTGCGGTGACTCACCACCACCAGGAGGGATAGGCCATTTCATGAGAGTAAGAAAGCACACTGAAACGCAAAAAGTTCATCTTAATTTCCAGAAAAAGTTTCAATGAAGTTATTAAGCTTCATATGTTGTCATAGAACAAACACACGCAAATGTTTTTTTTGGAGGGAAAGCAAAACCATTTTCTGCCAAAAACTGAGACAGTCCCAACCACTTACAACCAAGCCATTTTACTTCCCTCTCTACCTCCATGCTAGCAAAATCAGTGATGGATTCTTCTGTTATTATGAATGGATTCTAGAACAAGTGACTCAGGGTTTTGCTGAAAGTGTGCGGATTCAGCGGTCAGGAGTGGAAGCAGAGGTAGGAGGAGTCTGTGATGAAGGGCGGGCTGGGGGCTGAAGATTGGGAGGCAGTCAAGTCCAAGTTGGATGTCTAGGTAGCAGTCTCCAAATTGGGCTGAGCTTCAGAAAACCCAGGGAGTTCTATAAAATGCAGATTTCTGTGCCTCACTCCCAGAAACTCTAATTCAGAGGGAACAAAATAAAGTTGAAAATAAAAACAAGCAAACAAAATTTAGACCGAAATCGATTTTGACCATGGAAACCCTGAGAGCCTGTGTTTTGCTTTTCCTCTAACCCCCCAGAAAGGTGGTAGTGGTGTCACTTATTCACCCCGGAGGAGTGAGACCTGGAATTCTGTGCTAAATGTCACGTTGGTCATTTTCAGGATAATAGAATCTCAGTCTATGCCTTTAGTTTGAATGAAGGAAAACAATTCTCTGTACTGGAATTTTGCATTCACCCACATTGAAATGAGGGAAAACATGACTGACCATTTCACTTCCCTTGGTTTCATAAAAGTAGCTTGTCGGAATTTCATTTTAAAAGGGGGAATCTATTTGCAGCTTTAGGAAAAGAAAAACCACTGGTTCTCCAGACCCTTTCTGCCTTGGGTTCTATGCCTGTGGGAAAACAGAGGGTAGAAACGGATGCTTTAGCACACTGTTTACCTCCCGGAAGCTGTTCCCTCCCTAATGCCATATGTTCCTGTGTGATACTTGCTCTGCATAAAGCAACACGAAGGACAAGCCGAACCTTTCAGTTATATAAGAATCAAATCCAAATATTTAATAGGATCAACTGAATATTGAAAGGAGGCAGTAACCTAAATGTTTGGTGTAACAAATCAGTTACTTGTTTTTCAACATTTTGAAAAGCTGAAAAGAAAAAAAAATGTGTTAAATTGACTAAAAAAATGTGATTTATGAAAACTATCCCACGTTCATAGATTCCTAGCAGGAGGTGTCTTTGTTAATTTGTGACTCGGTGGGTTCTCACAAACAGCAGCTCTGTTGGAATCCAGCCTGCGGACTTGTCTGGTTCAGCCCCACAGGGTTAATGATCATACACCTTTAAGGAGGGCATTATAGCTTCAGACCCCCACAGGCCCTGCCTCCCCTGAGTGTTACATTAGTGCTATTCACATGTGCAGCCAGTGTGACTTCTGTAGGCCTTTGAACTCCACCTTTGTTGTGTATTGACTGAATCCAAAAAAATAATGACAATTTAAAAATAAGGAGTTTTCATAGATACAAACAACAGAATGGTGGTTACCAGAGGGGACGTGAGGTATAGGGGAGAGCAAATTGGGTAAAGCAGGACAAATATATGGTAACGGAAGGAAAGTAGACTTTGGATGGTGAGCAAGCAATAGAGTACACAGGTAGCAAATTATAATGGTATACACCTGAAATTTATACAATGTTATTAACCAATGTTACCTCAATAAATTTAATTAAAAATATATAGAATTTTAATGTCATCTTGTTATAATCACTAGTATCAGCAAATATTGGGAATTATAACCGCTTATTCTTAAATTTTTTTTGTATATAATCTATTGTTTTAGTATAAACACAGTCTTACTCATCATCTGTTTTTATTTTGTAGTCATATCCCATGGTATTGCAGTATCGACCAAGAATTGATTTCGGGTAGACCAAGGGGTCTCGATCCCACTGAGATGAACCTGCACTATTGTTTACTCAAGGACAGATTGCACAGCAAACGGTGTGTGGACTAGAGGGATGCAATCAGACTTTCAGCATGCAAATAAGGCCATTGTCTGTCTCTAAATTGTCAGTTGCATTTATGTTGTTTCTATTAAGAGCAAACCAAGTGCCATTCTGCTACTGAACCATCTGCATAATTTATTTGTGCTGTCTCTCAGTGTACAGTCACGGTGAAATCAGCTGGGAGTGCAGCCCTGACGCAGCCTTCGGAACACTTCTCTTGCCTGTTCTAATGTTTGATCACACTACTAATGTGGCTCAGTCTTTGTGGTGTTACAGTTTTCACATACTTACTATTTTATTCATTCTTGTTTAAATAGAGTATTATACAAGAAACTAGTAATTAAATCTCAAAATTATTTTGTACGGGAAATATATTTAGAAAAATGGTTTTTGAGCCACTGTCCTGTTCTCAGTAAGCTTTCTGTGTGCAAAATAGTTCATCTTTTGGGAAGAATTCCAATTATTCTTTAACATTAGAACACATTGTAACTGTAGGCATTTTAAGTCATCTGTCAGTATAGTCTACCAATTGCACAAGGAGGGCATGTTAGCCCTTCAGATTGAAAATGTATGTGACTCTGGGAGAACTGAAGCTAGATTCACAACCGTTCAAAATGTTGGCAGCTGATCACATTTCTAACAAAATAATGTGTAAGTAGGGTTAATCTCTCATAATGCCTTAGGACAAGCAGGTGCTGCTTCATGAACTGTCATTGTGTAGCCTATTTTTATGGATGCATCATTATATTGTTGCTCTTGTTTAATGAGGACATTGTTTCTGTTTTTTAAGTTGGCCTTAGGTGTGTCATTGTGGCATGCAGAGGGTTATGATGATTTTAAATATTAGAATCTTTAGAGCAGATAACATTAGCTATTTTATGGATTTCAGAAGTCTCAAAGCAGTTGTAGATTAAAACTGTTAGTTACCTATCACATTTCCAAACCATTTGCATAAAATAGAATAAATGCAGTGTAGTAGATAAATATGCCAACCAAAATTAATGGTCTGAGGATATTTCATTTTAGATCCTGTAGCAATCGGGGAAATGGGATACTGTTTTATACGTAAGCTCATTAAGGTCAGAGCTATAATAATGTCCTTGATTTAGCAGCTTTGTTAAGTCTTCCATTAATTTTGAGATTAGTCTGCAAGTCAAAGAAAGTCTTGTTACCTTAAATTATATGAAGAACTTTGTTTTAAACGTTTAAAAATTTATATTTGTTTTCCAAAAACTTCTTTGGAAATTGTTTTATTAATTGATTCAAAACAATTTAACCTCTGAAACTTAGGAAAAAATCTTGAAAGTTAGAAAAAATATTTATTTTAGAAACCTGACATGAGCACAATCTGTGTTACACACACAGTTTTTATACTGTATACATGGTAGAAGTGATACATTTTCTAGTACATGTATCACAAAACAATGCCTTCTGAATCTCAAATGCTTCTTAGAAATAAAACATTGTACAACTCTAAGAAACACATGCAAAATACAGGTAAATCTTAATGCATTTCATATAAAAGGCTGAAATATAATCCTTTTTTCCATATATCTTTGTTTCAAGTCAAAAAGTCTACATAAAAGTTTTCTGTTGTGTTTTTTCTCACTTTTGTAAAAAGGGTTATGGAAGTACTTAATTTTATTTGTTGGATTGTATATGTGCTTAGAAGGGCTCACAAACAGAATTGAAAAGGCAGATTTTTTTTTTTTTTTTTTAAATGGTTGGAACAGACCACTACCATCACACTCAACCAAAACCTGGATTTACAATTTAGCTACAGAAGTTATTTTATTCCCTGAAATATAATTGTCTGACATCTCTACGAAATTTTAAAATTATTATAAATTTGTTACATCTAGGTCAGTGATTAAAATAATTTTTTAAATATGGAAGTTAATTGACTTAATGCAAAATGCATTGAGAGTGCATTTTAAAAACCACGAATTGGACATGGGTGTTTTTTGGGTCCCCAGCCAAAACCTACAACCTTAAGTGAGTTTTATATATGCAATCTCTTTAAATTTGTCCTGTTGCTTCATCATATGTAATTTCACTATTTTCCAAGGAAATATATAGGAAGCAATTATGGAATTTAGAATAGTTTTAGTGTATTAACATTTTTACTGAAATGCAATGGAATATGTGCCAAAACATGTAAAAACCTTACAGGAGGACACCAGTTGTCATTTGGGGCAAGCTATACATCTTACGATGGTCCTGAGTAATATGGGATTACTACCAGAACCGCAGACTTCTTCAACGAACTCTTTTGATATATTCAACTATGATTTTTCTAAGTATGGGACTACTTTCATATCTAGTAATACACTAAATCCCCCATTAATTATTCCCTAAGTTAGGTTGTGGAATTTGGAAGAAACCAAGTATAGAAAAAAACTTGCAGACAATTTTTGTGATTAGTTTTTCAAACTTAGGGTGCTAGTAAAACAAACTCTCTATGTAATAACCTATAGGAATAATCATCTGAACCTGCAAAATTAGAGAATAAAACTGAGTTTTTCTTGAATCTGTTATTTCCTAAGGAACAAACTGAAAGAGCTTTACTTCCATAAAAGATTTTGTAATCTATTTTCTCTGCCTTAGATCTATTAGTAAAAGGGTCAAGGACCTTGATATAAAGGCCCTTGGTTTATAGACATCACTTAAACTGAAGTAACCACATCAGTTAATAGAAAATTCAGAATATGACCTTTTCCCTAGATTAACAAAATACTTTCAAGAAGTACAAAAAATAAACTGAAAGGCTCATTGATGAGGTGATACTAGTTCATTCAATCTGGGGTACAGCTGCCTTGAGGGATGTCTTTTAACTACTTTTAGTAAAGTTTGTTATTTCTTTATTCATTGAAAATCTGTCCCATACTAATATGCCACATTTTATAAATGTAATGAGTTTGCTCAACTATATTATATACTCACATGTAATCTAAATTTAAATGATTCTATAAGAGAAAAAAAGGGTGTGTTATATAATATTCTGAACTGTTTAGCTTTATTGAAATATTTAAGAGAAAGTGCCTCATTGCAATTGTGCATTTCTGTTTTAGATTTACTGCATAAATTGAGTTATCTGTACCTGTCTCTTACAAATTATTTCATATCTAAATAGGCACTTGTAAGTTAGAGTAATCACTTTTTTAAGATTTTCATAAGAAAACACATATCACCAAAGACATTTTACTGCTAATTAATGACTATGCTGGAGAGACAGTTTTAACAGTTTGGAGGTTAGAAATTTTTAGATTGCAATTTAATTTTATGTGAAACAATAACCTTGAGTAATTGCTAACATATCACCAAAGAAAGGCTTTCAATTGAATTTTCATGGTGAGATTAAGCGAATGCAGGTTTGTCTTAAAATTAGCAGAGCACTCTTCCTTCCAAATAAGCTTCTTGTTTTTCCAGCACCATTTGGTAGACCTTAGGAATTCCTCAAAGGCGAGAGAGAGAGATGAACACAATAGCCTTCCTCTGGATGAAAAGTAGAAGACAGACTTTGTAAGGAAAATTGAAATGGAGATTTTAAATTCTAATTTGAGAAGCTTTTTCTTCCATGGAGGCAGTAGAAACAAAAATTACGTTTGCTTCCTGGGTTCTCAGTAATAGGAGAAATTTTACTAAAGACAGACTTTGGTAAATGTGCTTTCATGTTTACTTGTACAGAAAACAGTACATTCTATTGGACTCACTCACAGAAATGCTTTTTCTGTATTCAGAAGCAAAATTTTCATAAAGGCCCATTCCAACTCCCTGTCCTACTTCTCAGTGATTACTTTATCGTTACTAGAATGCAGCCACACAGCCAAACTTAGCAAAGTGGGTCTCAGATCTAGAGCATACATACATCAAGGTAAGCCCTCTCCTTACCCCATTCTCCTTGGGAGCTCATGCGAGGGCCACCTTAAAGGTAAAGCCCGTATCACAGTCTCTGATCGGCCACGACATCAGCCTCCTTGGATAGGATAGAAATGGATGTGTTCTGTTCCCTGCTTTGGTTTATCATACGGAATTTCCCAGCAGGCTAATCTTGATACAGTAAGATGTTGGTTGTAGGAGAATTGCAGAAATGAATGAGTTCACCATAACTTTAATCTTCTGGATTAGAACCACAAAAACATGAAATACTATTATTATTTTAAGATATATATCTGTACAATAAGGAACATAACCTGTCTGCCAGATCTGGCTTATGAAGGGTTGAAAAATATTAAATATACTAGAGACTGAACCCCTTTGAGAGCACAAAATAACCAACCAATGCTGGATTTAATTTATAGACCTAGTTCAGTAGTATTTTGATGAAAAAATATCAGATTGAAATTCATTAAAATATACTTAAATATGCATTACAAGGTGTTCAGGTTTTTTTTCTTTTCTTTTCCCTACAGTAATGGAATTTTCCCAATACTTTAAAAGTGATTCTCTTCCTAGTGTGATGTAGTTGTCACAGATAGTGTGTTTACTTGCTATTCTAACTATGCTTTCAAACAAAATGCTTGAGCACTTCTTTTCAGAAAGTTATGAAATTAAACCTAATTTAATTTTAAATGCTCATTAAAATGTGTTTGTATACCTGTTATGCCCCTTTTCTAGGATCCAACACTGAGACATTGTTCAGGAATGCTTTTTAATTATCTTTAAGTCTAGAATCAAGTGAAACTGATGTATGTTAAATGCTGGGTCCAGTTTTCTTCCATCTTCCAGAGGCTCGTGGAGTAAGAAACTAATCTAGTACAAATGAAGATTAAATGTTTCTGGGCAACCTAGAAATAGTTCACGTTATTTATCCAGACTTCACGTCAGTCCACTGGAGCCGGTCTATCCATGAGAAATGGAATGGGATCAGCCTCATATTGTTTGGGGTCCGTTTTCTTTTGCTGTATTTTTTAGAACGGGGATGGGGCCTAAGTGTCCTTATGAAGCTGTGGTCCACGGCAAGCGCCTGTGAGGGGAGCCCCAGTGTCCTGCGTCCTCGCACCGGGCAACACGACAGCCAGTGCCAGTGTTGCGTAGAGTAGCCCTCACGTTAAACAAAACCGTCATAGAGTATGTTGTGCAGTTGTGTTGCTAGTTTTCCTTTAAAATATAAAATATTTTAAGCTTTTTTTTGTCAAAAGTGGTAACATCTTAATACAAATAAAAAACCTTTTTGTGGTTGTAAGTTTTAGCTTATAAATCATTCAAATTGAAGTGAAAGATTACCAGGTCATTGTTAATGACTTAGTCTATTAAGAATATATGTATTTTTGTAAAGGAAAAGCACTTGTAGATATTTAATCAGTACAAGATATATGTCTGTTTTGCAGAAATAAAATGCTGCTTAGAGATCCTCTTTAAATATTTTTTATTTTTGTGCTCAAATGTATTTTCTGTTGATCTATGGAATGTTCTGTATAAAGCTGTATGGTCGTACTGTTGGGCTAGATACTTCTGTTTTTTAAAATCTGGACTTAGCCAAGTATACTTGACCATGTTAAAAATAGTATCTTTGTTATTAAAATTTTGATTGCATAATTTTTTTTGTCTGTCATTCTTAATATTAGTAGTTATAGATTATAATCTCTATTTAAAAGTATTCATTAGGTACAACTGGAGCAAACTTTATTGGAATTTGTTGAGTGAGATCATAAACATTTTCTAAAGAGTCAAAGCTTTTTAAGATAACAGACTGCCCCTCAAATACTACTGTGGTGTGTACATACACATACACTTGAGAACAATTTCTTTGCTACATTAATCAAATCAAAATATTTGGATGTCAGAAAAGGCCCCAGAGGATTGAAGGACTGCTTTCTTCAGCCAATTAGATAACAACTTTGCTTTATCAATACCTTGCAGTACACTTGCCTCTGGAGTTCCAGGCCAGGTAAAGGAGGACTTGGAAGTCAGGAGGGCTGCAGTGACTGGTATCTTTGATTCGTATCTCTGCCTCATTGTTACTTGGATGCCTGAGGCTTCTGAGGTTAGTGATGCCAGGGAGGTGGCTGGAGAACCCCAAACATGCCGCGAGATGGAGAGGAGCTTCCTCTGAGCAAGATTTGACTCCATATCGTTGAGCTTTTCCCTCTCCAAGGCTATTGCAAGATGGGAAAGACCATGGAGGGTTGTGCATGGGAAGTGCTCAGAATCGTCTCACACCTCACGTTGAGAACACGTCACTGGCCTCATCTACCTCGGGGAG